AGGCGTACATATCTTCCTTATATATACAATTTTACTTGTAGCAAAAAAATATTTAATCAAAAAGCTGAAGGATAATTACAATTGATATTTAGTATATTAAAAATTAAAGATTAACACTTGTTTTATATTGTTTTATAACTTTAAGAAATAGTTATATAAGCAATAATCACAACTATTATTATAAATAATAGCAATTTTGAAAATTTTTAAAAAATCGAACTAAACTAAATTTGATTATAAAATATAAAAATTATTATTTTTTGTTTTAATACATTGATTGTAAAACTTTAAGAAAGAATTATATAAACAATAATTATAAAACAATAATAAAAAGAAAAAAATAAAAAGTAATAAAAAGTAAGAAAATTAAAGACAAAAGATAAAAAAAGATAAAAAAATAAAAGGAGTATTTGGGGTATAAAGAAAAACTAAAGACACAAAGTCAAAATCAAGCAATCATCATCTCACATTATTGTCTATACTAGAAATCCATATATGTATGCCCCAAATTGATGTCAGTATCTCAAAATTTATTAATAATTTAAGAGATTGCATATTATTGACAAACACTTCTGTTAAAAATATATATTGTTTATATAAAATATATAAATTAAAATTTAACAAATCTAAATTATAATTAAATATATATTCTTACCAATAATTTAACAACCAATAAATTAATACAGGCAATTGTTAAAAATATATATCATTAAATATGCAGTCATCCCTCTATATAATCACCCAATATAATCACAAACTCTATACAATTATACAGTTATTTTATACAATTTTTTTATTATTAAACCACCCTCTATATAGTCACAATAATTTTATAATTACTATCATATTTATATTTATAATAATGGATTTTTTAATAATGAAATTCCTTCTATATAATCACACATTTCCAAGATGGTTGTCAATAGAATAAACTGGAATATATATTATACATATACTGTATTATATTTATACATGTATATACATACGTATGTACATAGGTCATATATATTGTATATGCACATGTGTATATCTATATAAAATGCTCTCAAGCAATCGATTAAATAATGATCAAGCTCAAGCATAAAATTAAAAATTAATTATATTACAGAACTGAAAGCTTGAACATGCTCTTTTTATTTTTGTAATTTTGCCATGCAGCATAAAAAAAAAATTCTACAAAAAATTTCTATTTAATTAGCCTGACCTCAGGTGTTTTCAAGCACCTCAATCAATAGTTAAAGCATACTGAAAATACAGCGGGAATTAAATTTTAATTAGTGGAAAGTATTTTTAATCGATCAATTAAGCTTGTCATTAAGATAAGGTGGTTTATTATATAAAGAAAAAATTTAAATACTGTAATAAAAAATAAACAGAGTTTACCATCAGTCAAAAAACTTTACCCAACCTTTTTTTTTTTGTGCTGACTTGTCAGTTATAACTATTAAAGTGAATAAGTATTGTTCAAGAGCTTTTCTACTTTTTATTATAGACTTCATTATCAACAAACATTTTTTGTAAAATTTTCAACAGACTACTGTATTTGAAATTCTCTCAAGTAGTAATTGGATCTTTATTTTGATTTACTATTGTAATTGAGCATTACTACAATTATTAGAAAATCACAGTAATGCTTGGGCATATCTCAATAATATCATTATTCATATTTTTGACTTTAATCTAAAATGCTATGCCTATTTTGATCACTATGAAATCGCATCTAGGTAGATGCTTAAAAACACTTTCAGTTGCTTCAGCTTCTCCTCTTAATATTTTTTTTTATTAATTTAGACTTTTATTGCAACAGCAATTTATAGAATTATATCAGGATCGATATTTTATTTTAAGAGCATTAAAAATTTTGTTGAAAATTCACATTTGGTATGTAAACAATGCTTGAACACTCTTAATCAATAAGAAAAAAGATGAGTTGTATCTTGCTGAGTTTATTAATTAAACAATTCTAATATTTTTTAGCCATCCAATTAAGATTTTTGAGAACATTCATAGCCAATTTAGTAAATGAGTATTTTTATAACAAGATACAAAAATTTAAATTTTATTTTAGTTTAGCAAGTATTAACTCTAGAAAAACTTTTTTTTAAAAAAGAAAAGAATATCATGAAAATATTCTCATATCTACTGATAATTATATATGCATATATAATATGCGATAAATTCAAGTTCAAATTTTTTTCTGAATTAATTTTCTTTATAATGATGTGGATATTTAGGAAAGTTTTAACATACAAAACTGGACCCATATACACATCACATATTTCAGTCCCTCTATTGTCAACTTAGTCAATAGTTATACTTTTTGTATTATATTAACTATTCTGATTAAATAAAGAAAACCATTTATTACTTAGTAATTATTCTAAGATTAAAATATCCATAACTCAAATAATATATAATAAAGGCTATTCACACGATATCTGCAATGTAACAAGAGTTTTTATCATTATAAACTGGTTATTATTATAATATATGCAAAAAGATTTGATGCCGAATAAATAATTTTAGAAACCACAGATCTGGGTCCCAAATAAATAGTAAAGGCTATTCACACAATTTCTGCAATGTAATATTATTAGAGTTAGGTTTTTTATTATTATAAACAAGTTATATGCAGAAGGAATAATTTTAGAAACTGCGAATTTGGGTCTCAAATAAATAGTAAAGGCCATTTACATGATTTCTGCAATGTAATATTATAAGAGTTAAATTCTTTATTATTATAAGTAAAAAGAATAATTTTAGAAACCATGCATTTGGATTTCAAATTCACACAACCAATATGGGATCTCTCACAAGAGATTTTGATATTTGAAGAAGCTAAATGACTTCTGACACCAAATTTAGTAGACAAGAGATTGATTTTGGCAATTACTAGTTAGGTAAATTATTAATAGGTTTAAAAGAAAGAGCAAATTCAAACCTTTAATCTACATGTTATAATATTTGTCCTGCTAACAAACTAGAATACATAATCAAAAAGATAAGTGTAATCAAAAAATTCAGGGTTTATAATATGATAGGGCAAAATTAGTATTTATTATTGTAATGAAAGATGACTGGTTAAAATTCTCTCTTTATTAATTCAAAAAGAGATAATATTTAAAAATTGCAAATCAAATAAAGAATCTTTAAAATTTTACCTCTTTAATTTGGTATCACACATGCATAATCATTCTTGAATTATGTGAATTAGATCCAGATCATAAGAAGAGTTTACCAAATAAAATAAAAGCTTGCTAATAGCCAGAATTTTTGAATTAGGTATTGATTAGTGATACAGGCAAATCATCCCAATGATGCTGTAACTTTTATTATAACTTGTTGTAACTATCTTGTAATATATAATTATTATAATAAGTTATGCTATTTTTGCTATAACTTTATTATGTTACAAGTTATAGCAAAAGTTACAGCAAGTTACGGTAATTTACCTGTATCTCTAGTATTAATAAAGTAATTGTTATTTTTTGAAAAACATTATACCAAACAAGTAAATGTTTAAATCGTTAGTTTCAGTTTTACCACTCTAAAAATCAGTAGATTAGATCTTATATTATTGAACTTAAATATAAAAATAACTTTTTAATAAAGTGGAAAGCTATTAAATTCACAAGTTCTTTAGATTATTTAAGCACTTTGTCTTATTTGCTGTATATCTAAAATGTCTGAAAATTTATTACAGAAAAGAAAACGAATGGCTGTTAGTGAATATTTAAAAATGAGAAATATGCGAATATAGTGAATATAATCCTAACAAAACACAAGTAGATATTGCGAACTATTTTAATTCTCAAGATTTTAACTTAAATTTAGATCAAACAACAGTTTCTAAAATTTTAAAAAATAAATTAAAATGGTTAGCTATTACGGAAAATCAGTTAAGTTCTACAATTTTTAGGCATAAGCAAGTAAAATATCCTATATTATATTAGTCAATGATGCTCTGGGTCAAACAAGTTACCAGTAGAGAAATAATCCTAATGGAACTAATAATTAAAGAAAAAGTGACCTACTTTGCAAAAGCATTGAATCTGGGCAATGACACTTTAAAATTTTCAAATGGGTGGATTGAAAAATTTAAATGATATAATAATTTTAGAAATTTCAAGCTACATGGAAAAGCAAATAGTACTCTATTACCTTCACTTCCAGAGTATAGACAAAAACTACGTGAATTGATTAAAAAATAAATATATTCAGTGCGGATGAAATGTGGCTCTTTTTTCATTTGGCACCAGATCAAACACTTGCATCTAAGTCACGACCTGGATTTTAAAAGATTAGTTAATTCTTACAATTATTGCTATTTTTGAATTAGTGCAATAAATCACATGAATTACATGAATCAAATGAATCAAATTTTAATTCAGAGGAAATATCTAATAAAGATTTAGAATCTGAAACACCAACTGGTTTATGTGAGAATCGCTAGAGATGAGGTCGACCAAGATTAACTAGAACCAACCAGAGTACAAGTAACAGTCATAGTAATCATAGTCATAGTTGAGGTCATGACCGTAGTTGTGGTCGTGGTAGTAGTAAGAGTTATTATAGTAGTGGTTATAGTTAGCTATGTGATATACCTGACTATTCAAATATAAGATTAACTAATATTAAGCTTGAATTTTTACCACCAAATACAACTGCCCATCTTCAGCCCATGGAAGCAGGTGTTATTAAAAGTTTCAAAGCTAAATATAAGCAAAAATATACTAACACAATTCAAAAATAATGAGGATTTAAAAAGTAAAAAACATTAATTTAATTATGCATAATTTTTTTTTTTTGTAATAAATTTTTAATTGTGTATTAATTTTAATTCGATTAGAAAAAAGATAAATATAAAAGATGCTATTTACTATGTATCTGAGTCTTGAGACACCGTTGAAAGTACAACAATTGTCAATTGTTTGAATAAAACTGGAATTTTGCCATCAGTTTCTTATAAAGAAATCGAAGTCACTATTGAAAGTCAAGATATGTTATTGGAACATCAAGAACAAGACATTGATATATTGGTGATAGATTTGACATCTCAAGATTTGGATCCAGATATAGAAAGCCAATTGAATGCATATTTAGATTTCAACAATTCACATATTATAACTGAGGAAAAACTTGAAGATTCTGAAATTATCGAAATAGTTTTGAATGAAGAAAATCAATGTGAAAATGGAGATCCTAATGACTCAGATGAAGAAGAAATAGAAATTTCTGTGTCAGATAGATTTATGGGATTAAAAAAGTTTATTGGCTTTTTTGAACATCAAACTGATGCAGATTTCAAAGCGGAGGATCTTAAAATTATTCGAAAATACTTAACCTTAGTAAACTGAAAATATGTTGAATTTAAACATCAAACTTCTATTGATCATTTTTTATGCCCTTAAATAATAATGATATGTTGTGACATGCAATTTTTTTCTTTTTATTTTTTTCTGTCTGTTTTAGTGATTTTTTTTAGTATTAGCGAGGTATGTTATATAAATTCATATGATAACTAAGTGTAAGTTATATGTTCGCAATATAAATAATTGAAGTCTTCTGCAATTTAAATACATACGTTCAACAAGTTTATTGTACAGAGATACAATATTGAAAATTCTGAAGAGAAAAGTCATATAGCTTTAAATAGAAAGTGAAGATTTTTGCCTCAGATATTAATGTGGTTCCAGAGTAATACTATAGAATTTTAAATTCTAAATTTTAGAAATTATTATATGTTTTCCATATGTAAGCTAAAGTTTACTTTAAGTGAAGCAATTCGGTCAAGTTTGTTCTAATTATAATTTCCCTTCTGTAATAACTCTTTCTCATCGAAGTCATGTTAAAATATCATAATCATGTGAATAAAGCATAAGCTTTTAAGCATCGTAATAAGTGTCATGTTATAATTTAGAACCCATAACCAAGTCAAGGGAGATAATGATAAAACTAAAAGAGAAGTAATCAGTATTGTTAATATTCAATTAGTTCGTAAGAACAAGTATAAATCTAACACTTAGCGTTGATTCTGTCCAAATTGACATGACCATTCAGGTCAGTCTCAAGAGCGCATGATTTAACCTCGATAAATCAGAGACAAAATTTCTGAATAAAGTAAGGAGACACAGTGTCATGGTGAAATACAGTATGTGATAAACAGGTATGAATATAAGGGAATAAGCAATCGATCGATCAATAACTTGTGCATGTGATGCACATGATCGATCGGATCAAGTAAACGATCAATTATGCAATCGAAGTAGTATGCATGAAATATTAGTGATAGTAAAGACCCACAAATACACGGTAGTTTAGGTAACTCCGTGACACACAGGCCATCTTTTTTTTTCAGAGTTATTCTGCTTGACTGGAATTTAAAATCCACGTTTTCACAATGAATTTTAGCAAATCGTCCTTCAATTAACACTTAATCGCAATTATAAGGATCTGTATCATTTTAATGATAGTCGTTTAGGCATCTACGATCAATTTTAAGACAAGTTTTACTTTACAGAAAATTTATTTCACCAACAGCACATTTTACAGGCAAGTTTATTTTTTATATAAACTACTGTATAAGTCAACTTAATGGTAAGTGCTAGAATTATTTTGTCATAAAATGAGCTGATGGTGAATAAATCTGTAAAATGAACTGTGTTAAATTATTTTCTGTAAAATAAGTTTGACTATGAGTTGATTGTTCGTAGGCCACGATGTTTATGAAGTTGTCTATTAATTAAATAGTAAACATTAATTAATTGAATGATAAGCATTACTTAGTGATCGGATAAAGATAGGGGATACTTCATTGTAAAGAATCAATTTTTTTTAATAGATCACGGCAATCTAATTAACTATGGATGTTCTCAAGCATCTCAATCAAATAATTAAATAATGATCATGATAGCGCTCAAGCATCATAATCAATGATAACATTTAAGAATAAATGCTTGAGCATACTCTTTCTATTTTTCATAATCTTCCATACCGAAGCCTAAATTGGCTTCACCTTTTAATGATTTTATTAATTAAATTTTTGTTGCAACAATAACAGAATCATCTTATGGAGTTATTAGCGAAATTTGCTTTGCAGAAACAAGAAGTAAATTTTTTATAGATAATCTATAGTAATTATGCAGTTGCTATTTCGCACTGAAAGTAGTATAGGTAATACAGTAAAACCTCTATTAGTGCACGCACTTGGGACAAAAATTTAACGACATGCACTTAGAGATCAATAAGAGAATGTGCATTTATTGGGGTACGTATATGTTTGGGCCAGAACTTGAGCGTGCATTTAAAGAAGGTGTGCACTTATAGAGGGTGCACTTATGGAGGTTTTACTGTATCTTACTTGGTTAATTTATTCAATTTTCAAAATATATAGTTGCCTCCGACCTATTAAGTAAGGCACTTAAAATAATTTTAAAAAAATTTGAGTTTTTTATTTATTACCTCTATTAAATCACATAATTTTATACGTACTAATTATAATTTGTGCTTATATAGAGGTACCTTTATAAAGTCACACCTCTTTATAATCATTATAATCACCTATTAGGGTGTGCCAACTGCGTGATTATATAGAGGGATGACTGTACCCGAAAATAAGCATCAAAGTTGTATAACGTTAGACATTAATTTAGCGAAGATAAATCATATAAATTTAAGGGGAATTTACTATAGGTACCCGGAAAGTGAAAATAATTACAAAATAAGTGCCCGGACTAAAAATAATTACATATAAGTGCCTGATATTTAAAAAATATTACATATAGGGGCCCAAGAACGTACCGTCTGTGGCTTGATCGTCATTAATTATTAAGCATAGCATAAGAAATGTAATCATAGATTGTAAATTAACGTGCCCTTTTCTTAAATAATACAAAAATTTAGTAAAGCTTCATAGTAAAGAATTACTATAAATATAAGGATACATGTCATTCGCTTGCGTTGTTTCACCGACAATCAGTTCAGCTCATAGTACGTAATTTTAAATCATTAATAAGCATAGCATAAGAAATGTAATCATCGATTGTAAATACTGTGATGATCACTGGATTAACTGTACTTCAAAATAATCAAATTTTGGCTAGCAAAGTAATGGCGCAGTTCCATGACTAATCCAACAATAATGCGTTAATAAAAAAAAAAACGATATATCTAAATTTTTGTGCTGAAGACTTTTATTTAATAGAAAATTTTCGATTACTTATTTTTTTTCAATTTTTTTTTTTTTTTACTTTAAATACGGGTCTGCCAAATTTTTGCGCCATCACTTAAATTTTCGCGCATATCAAATACATTTGATGCATTGTGTACGTAGTACGTATGTCGTACGTAGTACGTATGTCGTACGTAACACAACCAATCAAATTTCAAGTGGCAACTTTAGGTAGTGCGACATTATTATAGCATCAAATGCATGTATAACAAACAATTATATAAATCATTGCCAATTATTTGTATTAAATTCGATCATACTAAAACACCTTAAAATAAAATGTCAAATGAAACAAGTCTGCTAAATATTTATAATAATCCATCAACCGAATGTTCAATAAAAAGCACTATTTATGATGATAAAGATAAAGATGTTAATAATTCAATACGAGTAAATTTATCACTGCATGACTCACAGGAACTTCTAAATAGAGTTACCGAAGAATTATGTAATTTGTATAATAAAGAAGTCAAGAAAGGAAATTATGATAGCACAATTATTTACTTAATAGAACAGCAAATGACAAATAAGCAGCAAAAACCAGAAGAAATAATTAATTTATGTTTAAATAACCAAACAAATCCTATAATTCAAAATAACTCTATCATTCAACATATTCTTGGAATGTGTTATGATTATGGAAAATGGATTAAAAATAATAATCGTCTAGCGTTTATTCATTATCAAAAATCAGCTGAATTGGGAAATTCTAATGGGACATGTACTCTCGGTTTTTGTTATAAAAATGGTATCGGGGTTGAAAAAGACAATCATAAAGCATTCAATTGTTATAAAAAATCAGCAGAGATGGATGATCCATATGGAATTGAATCTCTTGGTGATTGTTATCGATGTGGAATTGGTGTTGAAAAGGACAATAATAAGGCATTGATTTATTATCAAAAATTGGAAAAAATGGGTCATGCTATAGGAATGAACTGTCTCGGATATTGTTACGAAAATGGAATTGGAGTTGAAAAGGATAAACACAAGGCATTTACTTATTATCAAAAATCTGCAGATATGGGTAATTCTGATGGAATGTATAATCTTGGATATTGTTATGAAAATGAAATTGGTGTTGAAAGGAATGAACATAAGTCATTTCATCATTATCAAAAATCTGCTAATTTAGGTGATGCTAATGGAATGTATAACCTTGGACGTTGTTACGAAAATGGAATTGGAGTTGAAAGGGATGAATGTAAGGCATTCGTTTATTATCACAAATCTGCTGACATAGGTGATGTTGATGGAATGAATCAAGTTGGTACTTGTTATCGAAATGGAATTGGAGTTGAAAAAGATGAACATAAGGCATTTATTTACTATCAAAAATCTGCAAATATGGGTAATGTTAGTGGAATAGATTGGCTTGGATATTTTTATCTTCATGGGATTGGAGTTGAAAAGAATGAATATAAAGCATATATTTATTACCAAAAACATGCTAATATGGTGCTATGATATAAATCGTCTTGGATATATTATCAAATTAGAATGAGAGTTGAAATGATTGAAAAATTGAAATGAATGGATGTAATAAAATTCTTTTTATTACAAAATAACTATTATTAAAATAATTTGCAATATTTCAGTTTTAATGAATTTTCATGAATATTGTTATAGAACTAGAACATGATCATGCAGGCGGCTTCGCCGCCTGTTTTAATTATGCGTAGAGGCTAATCGTATTTTCATATTTAAAATAATTTGAATAAAATGATAAAGTGTAACTTGGTAGTAAAGATACACAACTTAAATAATCTATTTCAAATACCTCAGTTTATAAATATTTATTTTTCATTCATATATGTCATTAGTGTAAATTTTCTAGTTAAATTAGGGTTATGATAAAATCAGCCCCGAAAATGGGTTTTTTTTATATAAATTCTGAATCCACTTAAATTCCGTTTCCACTTACAACATATACATTCACATAGTAAAGTTAAATAAAATGAATTCAACTTTCTTAATACCTAAATGCCTTATCTATTTTAATCAGTGATGGTAAATGACCTGGTCATTTGCAAATTTTTTAAATGACCTTAAATGACCCCAAAATGACCGGTCATTATCGGTCATCTCAATTTTGGGTCATTTGTAAATGACTCGTGACCAAATGAC